AAAGGACTCAGGAGGCCTGGATTCTACCCCTGGCCTTGCCACTGCTTTGTTAGGTGACCTTAGACAAGTCACTCTCTCTCACCCCCAAACTCCCACCCCACCCCCGTTCCTTGCGCTTCAGTTTCCCCATCTGTGACCTGGGGATAATGATACTCCCCTGCTCTGCGAGCAAGGAATGAACAAACTCTCTCCGAGACAGGAGTTGTTATTATTCCCACCGAAGAGTACAGCTCTGTTATTTTGAAACTGTTCCGCGATTCTGAGTGTCTCAGCTTTTGGGGTAAGGCAAGTCGGGTCTGATTCACCGAGGCGCTGAGCTCCCGCAGCTGCCACTGATACCGGGGGCGCCCAGCAGCTTCTGAGAGCCCAATCAGGCGACGAAGAATTCAGGTTCCCAGAATCACTGGGCGCTTTTGAAACTCCTGGCCAATCTCTTGGGGATTTGCAGCCCAGCCTGCTTATAAAACACAGCCTCCTTCTGACACCCGTCCCTGTTTTGCATGAAATTAACCAGTTTTTCAGTGTCTTCAGGAGAATGTTTTTTGAGGGGAGGCTGTTTCTCTCCAGCTCAAGGGCTGTAACAGACTCACATGCTCGGTGGATCAGGCACAAGAGGGGCCCTGTGGGCACACTCAGCGGTGGGCTACAGCTCATGTATCCTGCTGTGTTTAATGGAGTGACTCCTCCTTGCCACGCCTTCGTTGCTGGGGCCGTCCCATCTAGGGTGACCAGATTTTCAAAGTGAAAAACGGACGGCTGTCCCTGGGGCGTGTGGGGGTGGGGAATAGGGCAGCAGCAGGGGATAGTTTAGGTGGACAGTCAACCAACACCCCCGCCCCTTTCCCCTTCTTCTATGGATCTGACTCTGTACAGGAAGGGCTGGGGACATATGGGGAGGGTGGTCTGACTGGGAGGCCTAGTGCAGGGTGTCAACCATCCTGGTTCCACCAAGCACACCTCCTCTCTGGTTACCATCTCAGGCCTCATGCCATGGTGCGCCTCAGGACAGAACCCTGTAATTCTCCCATCCCAGACTGGGTCCGGGCTGTATCGCCCGTGATCATGCACCAGGTCCGACTTATGTCCCATTCTGGGACAATGAAAGTTAGGGTTACCATTCAACCGGATTTACCCGGACATGTCCTCCTTTTTGTTCTAAAAATAGCGTCCGGGGGGAATTT